TAAAGTTGAATTTGTTTGTTATTTTTTTAAAAAATTTTTTTATTATTAGAATTTTCAGATATTTAACTTTTTTTGTTATTTTTTATTTGTTTAACATTATTATTTTATAAATATTATATTAATATAACGTGACTTAATTTTTACTAGGTTATATAAGAATCAGAAATTTATTATAAATTAATTATTTATTATAAATAGATAAAAAATTATTATTCAAAGCAAAATAATATTTTTGAAAATAAGAATTGTTATAAGGCAATAAGTAAGTTTCTTAAATAATATATTAAAAAAAAAAAATAATAAATAAATAAGTTTTTTAACCAATAAATATATATCTCTATATTTCAATCAAATAACTTTTACTGAAATATAGATTAAAAAAAGTTAAATATTATTTTTTATGAAAAAAAATTTTTTTTTCTTTTTTAGTGTGCTTATGATATATTTTTCGATTTCTTTTTTTTTTAATTCTTTTTCTTGTATGGTTTTTTCTATTTCATTGATTTGGTAGAATATTCAATGGTAACAATCTGCTGACAATAGTATACAGTATGAATTAAAGGATTTTTATTCAAAGTCCTATATAGAATAATATATTGTTTTCAAAATCAAACTCAGAAGCTTTTTATATCAAGATATTTGAATAAATGCGTACATGCATTTATTAACTCACGATTTAATCTAAAAAATGCGAATTATTTACAAAAAAAAAAAAAAAAATAGATATAATTTAATAAAATCAATAAGATAATATACTATAAATATCTATAATATACTATTTATATAAGATGAAATTAATGTATAGAAATAATAATCGCCAATTCTGCATAATCTACTGTATCCGATACAATCGAGTCTTGGCTTACTTGCATATGACAACGTTCGAACAAAAAGAACTAAAAAGTCAGGTAATACTGTACATACAAAAATGTACGATATATATAGTTCACCGACGTGTAATTAACGTCTCTGACCTTTTTAGAAATGGAGTTGAGTTTGCGTAATAAATGTGTAATGCAATTCGTTTTTATGGTTTAGTAATAAATGCTTCATCCTATCATAGACGCATATAAACAAACCTTTTGTTTGTATTTAATGCATTTCACTGCTGTCTTAGATATGCACCAGACGCTTGCCGTTATTCGGCGCCATTGAGAATCAATTAAATTTCCTCGAATTTGCTGTTCACGAAAAAACTCTGCACAAAAATTAAAAAAACAGTTTATGTGCAAAATAGAAAAATAAACTTGCCAACAAACCTTCAGTAAAGTAGTGTCGGTTTGCAAACAAGTCGTATTATATGCAGTGATGAATTATAATGCCCATAACTCAATTAAGAACTCGGAGCCTTCAAAGGAAAAATTATATGAATTTTTGATCTCTAGCATTAATTCACCTAAGACGCTTAAAGACATTCAAATGAAACCCGAAACTTTGCGAAAATGGAAAAAAATGTGCACCAAAAATCCACTTTACTTCATAATCAGAGAAATAATGAAACCATTAAGTTTATTCCTAATGATAATATTCATTTCTACAAATATATTATTTTTTATGACCCGTGAGGATGACTTCCAAGGGACATTTTACCTCTCGCGTGATTCTTCACAATCGCCTCTGTATGAGGTGAGTGATTTCATGGCATACGCGCTCACGACTGATATGCGGAAAAAAACTAACAAATCTCTTTAACACTTACTTCAACAGAAAAATGACGCCAAGAACCGTGATGATCTCGATCTGGAAACAAATCGCAAATATTGTGGTTCCCTACAAAAAGCCTGTAAATTCCTATTTATCTACTCACTCCCCTTGACCCATGTTGATCTCACCGCCAACTCCATCATTCACACATTTTCCCATGTGGCTCGTCATCTAGACCGCACCATGGTCCTGCCTGACTTCAGTCACCTTCCCTATTGCATCGAAACATTAAAAACAACGTTTCCCACCGTAAACTTTATCTCCCAATCGAAATTTGAGCGATGGACCAGAGAACGGTTCAGAAAACCCATCGCCCAACATTTCCATATCACCAATGGGACATTCGCACCGTCGGTAATTTCCCATAATGAACCTACACAGGATAATTCGCATCATAGTGTCAACTGTTTCAACAGGTTTGACATTCAATTGAATCATGAGAGCACTTATCACAGTTTACAAGTTGAACGGGACGCGTTATCCGACTTGAGGAAGCTTTTAATAAAATCTTTCCTCCACTCGGACGCCGAAGTCTTGCTTATTAAAAACGACATGGATCAAGACGCGGGCTCACATCCGGTTGCAACGTATTCAACTCGCATCGCATGGGAAGCGTGGAAGATAAAGATGGCGTTGGGACCGTACGTGGCAGTGCATTGGAAGATGGAAGAGATGCGGGCGGAGAATATGCATACTTGTGTGGATCGGTTGAAGAGTAAGTTGATGAAGATTAAGAATAAATATGGGATACAGAATGTCTATTTGTCAACGGATTATCCCATCTCGTCGGAGTTTGCACATCCGAATTCGTATAAACGGTTTAAACAACATCACCACCGAGCAATTTTAATGCTGAACTCCACGGTAAATATCAATTCGTGGATCAGTTTGGGCGCTGGTGAGTTACGCCGAGAATTAGAGAATTTCAGCGGTAAAGATCCAGGGAACGGAAATAATAGAGGGGGCGATGGACTCGGCGTATTTGGGGATGGAGAAGTACAGAGGGTATTGGATCAGATGGTATGCATAAATGCGGATTATTTTTTGAGCGGACCTGTAGGATGTTGCAAACAGCGGAGCATGTTCGCACGAACGGTGGGAAACTCTCGGCGAGAGATCTCAGAAGCGGAAAACAAGAGGTTGTTAAATATAATGGCGCAGTGGTAATAGTTTCGGTGAAAATTTTTGATGTATCATTCATTAGTAATGTGAGACTTCTTAATAATTAAAATTTTAATGTAAATTGTAATCGACGGGCTGATAAGGTTCGTTTCGCGTTTATTTTATGGTATACGATTTGACATCGATGATAATAAATTTTTTGAAAAAAAAAAAAAAAAATTTTTTTTGTTGTATAAATCTCTCGTCTGCGTACTGAAACTGCCTAATTATTAAACGCCCCGGTTCTATCCTCGTAAACCCGACTTTCTAAATAAGGTAATAAGTAAATATTCCAATGTCGAAAACAATCACACACTATATAAAAAAGAAACTGGTTTTGTTAAATTGGATTGGTTCTGAAGAATTTCGCATATATAGCATTGATCGTCGGATTTTATTGTTACAAATATACCGCCAAGAAATTTCCCGACATTCCTTTTTAACGTGCATATTGTTGGACAAGAAACTTCTTTTCTTCAACCCTTTTTTTACTCCACTACTCTTGGATTTAATACCAAATCTTAAAACATAATTCCTTTGAATTTAGGTATCCTGTTTCACCTACTCCTATACGTTCAGGCTAAGGACCTGATGGTATTATGATGACTTCATGCTAAACTATTGCATCTAATTAAGGATTCGATTCTCATAAATCATTCGCCATACTTTATTACACAACATAGTCCAATGTCTCAATCAAATCCTCGATCATTTCCCTCTAATTCTAATTCTCATCCCCCTTCGTCTATTCATGTTTCCTCACCCTCAACACCACCTTCCCAACAAAATCAGAAACGCTTTCCTATTCTACAATCGCATATTAATTTCGGTAAATCGAAATCCACCGTCCACGAACCATTTGCTGGATTCTCGGATCAAAACACAATGTATGGTCATCACCGCGAGATATGGTCGTCAATCCGAAGAAGGATGATGGGTTCGATTCATCGCGTAAATATTTTTGAAAGGAGACTCCCGATGAAGAGGAGGCGGTACCGATGCCTTACAATGATGGGATTTGCACTTGTGATTTTTTTATCATTGCAAATTGTGAATATGTGGATGAAACGGGTGGAAGTTGAGATGATCAAAGGCAAGTCACGATTACACTCTGAAATTCTAAATTCCTTGCATCATCTAATCCCTTATTCTGTGATTAGAAGAAAGAGAAAATTATGATCCAGTAAAGTATCTGGACTTGGATCCAAACTTAAACTTTGAGTTTCCACTTGGCACTACCGTTTACCATATAACTCGAGAATTCCATAAATCCACTAGATCCAACATTGGACGTCATGTGACAGCCCTTGCCAGCGCTCAGTCTGCCGATGGTTCCCTTTCGGTCAACATAGTGATGCCTTACTACTCTTTCCTCAAGCACATGTACAAGTTCAGTTCCTACTGTAAACTTAGGATCCGCATTCGCGATGAACACGGAAAATGGAAATCAGTAAAATTCTCAGTCCACAGATTCTGGCTAAATACCCAAACCCAACAATCTTTCCCTGCTGTCAAATCAAAATCAAGTAAACAAAACCTTGTCAGGGTATTCATGATAGGCCAATCAAGTCAATATAGTTCGGTATTTAGGTCCAATAATGTGTCCTCTATTTATTCTGCCAAGAGATCTTTACCTTCCGAATTCAGTGATGTATATTTCTGCAAGGCGGCGGCTGAATTGGTTACTTACTTGAACGTGATTGCTGACGTCTCTTTATTTTCGGAGTCTGAATCACGAGGTGCTGATGTGGTACACATCCACGGTTCTATCAATGCTCTCGCCGTTGAATTCATCAAAGAATTTCATAAAGATAATAATCCCCAGAATATTCCTTCGTCAACAGTATATACCCTGCACGATCACTATGACGAACAGCTCTACTCTGTCGGACCCAAGAATCTAAATCGATTCGTGGACGCCAAAAAATTTAGAGCTAGAAATTTACGTTACTTCCGTGGAGATCGATTATTCCCCTCACCGCTAGGAATAAACGGATCAAATGTCGCGACCTTCGTATCAAAAGAAGGAGCACAATACATTGTGGAGAGGACACCGGATTTTTACATGAGAGGGTTGATCATGCCAAGTATACTGCTAAAGGCGGAGAATAGACAATGGGTGGGAATAAACAGAGACCTTGATCCGATCACCTTAAGTCCATTCGACAGCACCGTGTTGTTAGAAAGCAATTCCATTTATCCAGATAACATCGATTCATTTAATGTTGATCTATTCTACGCTGAAGTCGCCGAATCCATGGAATTACAACCGTTGATACACACCGCAAAGATGAATGCAAAGAAATACCTGATTCGTGAAGGTTTATTGGAAGAGGAGGATCTAAAAAAACCATTACTATTTTTTACTGGTAACTTTGGATATCATAAAGGATTTCAATTCTTTGATTCTGTAGCAGGAATCCTGAAAAAGCATAACGCGAAAATCATGATTGTGGTGCCGAAAGATGACTTACCGCGCGACGAAGGTGGTGACAATGTAGAAGAGTTGATGGGTAAGTATCCGGATGAGGTGATGGTGTTTCATGACGAGCAAATGGTGGCTGAATGGGAGGCACTATTTAGAGCAGCCGCGGATATGCAATTCTTGCCTTTATTTAAGGAACCGTATGGAATGCTGGATACGGTCGGAGGGTTCTTGTTTGGAAATATGATAGTGGGGAGTGGGACAAGAGAGTCCATAGAACTCTTTGTTAATGAAACACTCAAGAAGAATACGGATAAGGATGGATCGGATAACAACGGACAAACACCGGAAAATTTGGCAGAGGATGATCGGAACGATAAAGAGATTGAACAATACCATAAGTCTATTTCATATTTTTCATTTGATTTTGATCCGCGTGATTTAAAAAGTACAATTGAAAGTTTGGATCTTGGGCTAGAGCTCGCTGTCGAGAATTGGAAGAGCATGGAGTCGGATGTTAGGAATGGGGAGTTGTTTCTGAGGAAGTTGATTAAAGACGCGCAAAGATTGATTCGGAATTCAAAAAATGATGAGATTGAGAGGTATAAGAAGGTTTATAAGGTGGCGATGTTGCAGACGAATGATGAACTGGTTGAGGCACAGAATGTAATGGAAACATAATTATTAAAATATTAAAAGAAAAATATTATAAAAAGAATGCATCGGTGACTACTTATTTTATTTACATACTGTACGTTGAAATCATTTGTTGCCTGCAATCGATTTCTATAAAATACTGTAAATTGCAATGACTCAATCCTTTGATTGTTTGATTAAAATTGAATGCTTTTGTGAAATTGCGTGTGTTTAGCACAACTTTTCACAGCGAAAAAGCTTGTCGCCTAAAAGTTGATTTTATTATTGTTACAGTATTTCTTCTTAAACGATTAGTCTTTTTATTTTTAAATACTGTAAGTTATCAATAATCATATTTGCATATTTGATAAGTCGGAACTTGTTTTGAATTCTCCTAATCACAATTCGACCAATAATACTAAAATGTCAATGAATAAATAAACCTTACCATTATGGTATCAAAAAAAAAAATGGATTTTTTTCAACGACAAAAAAGAAAAAAAAAAATAGAACGAAATACTGTATATGAGAAACAAAGGTTTGATTTATTGAAAATGTTGGCAGGTAGCCAACTGGCAAGGTTGTTTATATAGTAAATAATAAAGCTATTCTATGATTCTGTACAATTAAGGTTAAATCCTTATTAAAAATATTTAATAATTCAATTGCTTGTTTAATAATCTCTTTGTGACTTGTTGCTAAAGAAACCTTACATTAGTCGAAAAATATTTATTTAGTATAATGCCAATCAAAAAATTTAATAATTTGGCATATTAATAATATAAATAAATCATCAATCAATTTTTACTATATAATTTGACATTATTTACCATATAATTCACACTATTTTACTATATATTTCATTAAAATTTTTCTCAAAAAATCATTAGACATCTGTTAAAATTTCAATTTTGTCAAAATTTATACATTTGTCAAATTTTTAATTATATATTATATTTATGATTTAAAGAAATTACAATTAAATATTTATAAGAATCTTGCCAATTTGAAATTCTATATATGAATAGTCAAAAATATTATGAATAGGAATTATGTATTTATGTTTAACTGGATAAAATTTGATATTTCACAATTTACTATTTACATCATTTTCAAATTTGAAATAAAATCTATTTTCTATTGAATTAATTGATTTATATTATTAAATAAAGGTCAATCAATATTCAATAACATTATTTAAAAATTTACTTAATATATTGTGATAAAAATAGCATCTACTATCATTGGATAGTTATTTTTAGTCCTGATTTTTATTCTATTTCTATTTTTATCTATTTATTTATAATTATTTCTTTGATATTCTTTGATATTCTTATTGGTA